TTATATTGTACTAATGACAACTCGCAACGTCATACGTCGGATTATTTAATAAATAAAAGATGAATAATAATCGAGCGCTTTTAAGCACGGCCGAAGAATAATTCAATTTTCATTCTTCATGTTCCAATATCTATCGCACACACTCGGGCCACATTGACGCTAATAGAGTCATCGATCCTTACGCGCGCGTCGGTTAATATGCTGAAGTGTGTTGTTATCCAATTATAATAATGGTACGACTGAAAATTATCAATATTGACTAATTGTATACTCGGACGCAACTGCGCGCGAGAGGAAGTTATCGAGCGCGTAATAACGGGATACACGTCGCGTTGTTGTTGTTCCGATGAAATGTTAGAGTTAAATTAAACGATGCTTGTTTGAAGTTTCGAGATACGTGTGACGTACGTATATATATGTACGATGTACACGTCTCCCGCGCGGTAAGTGCGTTTGACATATACGTGTCATATCTTAGCGCTGACCGGCAAACGGATTGTGTAAGCCGTAATCGAATATACATGACTCGCTATCCCGATCTATTTCCGCGTCACGGAAGATCCGTAATACGATTCGTCATCGTGTCAGAGAAACAATACTCGGATTGCATAGATCAAAGTCAGTCAGTCAATTTAAACACGAGCAAACTAACGCGCGCTCTCGCGTGAAATCTTGAAATCTCTAAGTTTTCTACAATAAATAATATGTATTATAGTGAGAATGCGCAAGTATAGAATTAAAAAAAAAAAAAACAAACATCTCTTTTAAGAAACCTTCTCAGAATGATTCTTGAAATTTCACTTGTGTCGTCGTGTTTAAGTAACAAGTAAACAGACCAATTGGATGCTGATTGCGTTTATGAAATCAAAGATAAAAAGTACGAAGAGCAAGCTCGTGATCTGTAAATTTACAGCTGAGTTTCTTGCGCCGGGTGAAAGCTCGTTTGATGTGCGATAAACAAATTTTTACTCGGAGCTACGAGCACGCCGACGATTGCTTTATCGATGTTTCCATTGCATATTTTGTTATTTCCGTTTGACGTTGCATTTTGAAAGAAAAAAAAAAAAGATTATATTTTTCAAAGAAATCTGACGCGTGTCGACGCGTTTTTGTCGAGAAGAAAACGTAAGCTTCAGCATTCTCGTACTTCTCGCGAGAATGCTTTACGCGAGTTTACTTCCCGTAAACTCGGCGTTGTACGATAAACCGAGGATCGTATATTGACCTTATTACGGTTTATATCCCGAGTGGACAATGACCGTAGTTTAAAGTGCATTATGCAATATGTTGAAACATAACGGACAAAGTTTCCGCCCGTATTCCATGTATGAGCCGCGCATTATCGGTTGAATAATTCAGTCCATTTCAATGTTTCACGGTGACATAAAAGGACGTAGTTATGGAAATGAGCGCGTTGAAATTTCACGGGAATCCGATTATTGCCTCGAATTCGACCGGGATACGTTACTTTACGGGCGACATACGACACGTAAAAAATATTATGCGCCCGTTTCGGCATGTGGCATTGTGTACTTTCGAGATTCCATTCGACAGAATTTTCTCGTCGCGGCTCGTTTAATTTAACTAATTAACCAGTGCCAAAAATTTTTCAGCCATAAATTTGCAAATAATTCGTCGCGCTACATGTTTCACACGTCATGTACATAATATATATCTATTGTATGTTTACTTGTGCATGTAGATTTTACTCATTTATGTTCTTCCATATGTTCTCGATTTAACCGGAACATAACTTTGTAACGGGGTTCTGTTTTTATATCGGCGCATAAAACTATATTAATAGTTTTACGCGCCGATATAATAATATTATTATTAAAAATTCAAATTAAATACAAAAATTTATTTAAAAAAAAAGCATCATAAAGAAAACGCTTCAAATGACGAAGCGATCACAAAGCAGTTCTTTATATATATATACAAAGTCTAACCAACAACAAATAAAATATTATTAAAAAAACACAATATAATTAAAGATAACATAAGTTGCTAAGTATATTTGACAACGCGTAGCTATTTTTGTATTTTCTTTTTCTTGATTGTTGCGACACTCCTTTCACCAAAACAAACATCGCATGATTTACAAGTTGTTATTTGTTGTTAACTTTTCTACCGTATTTTTCACATAAAGACAGAAACTTTCGTGATCGGAGAGGAAAGGAAGAGTAGGAAGTGGAAGTTAAAAGCCATAAATCATTTTGTGACACATTTATGCCAGTCGCGTGCGACGGGTTTGCCACATTACACTCAACTTCCCAACTTATATAAATTTCATACCGACCAAGCCACGTTTCGGAGTCTACCCTCTGAGAAAGTGCCGAGTAATAACGCAAGAGACATTTCCGGGTCAAAAGCTACCGGTTCTCTCGATAGCGAGTTCTTCCACCAAACTATCCTCTCGTCTATTGTTACGTAATAAATGTTCCCTATCGCACAAAATCCCGCTATATGTCGGTGACAATCAAGGTGATTTTGCGCAATTACAAACTATATAATTTTACGCGAATAGCAAACGCATATTTGATTTTGCGGTTCTCGAGTTTTACGTCGATATTTCAAACAATTGTGCTTTATCTACAGGTTATATCACATTCACGGGGGCGTAATTAATGGAAACGTAAAATCGTTCGCGATAGAAACGCGATTTCCCCATAAATTTATCGAACATCATGTTCGGCGATGAAATCACTTCCAGAATCGGACTGGTGGAATTCAATTTTACGCCATGTTACTCTGGCGATTCCTCGATTTTCAGTTTGCGCGCGCGGCAAATCGTGAAAACAAACTTATATAACCGTGCATCTCTCTCGTCTCTCTCCTTTCCGATCCTATAGGTAGCAAGATTTGCCACGTGTTAATTTGTCAAATACATACTCTTCAATGTCTGCAAATTTTTTGCGAGCGTTTACGAGAGAACACGCAGATAGAATCGCAGAGAGAAAACATCTTTTTCGCGCGGCGATATCAAAGAAACGAGTTGCGTAGCAAAACTGCTGATGTTTTAAGTACTTTACGCGGATCTTGAACGACGACGTAAATATCGCAAACTGATTTTGTCATAAATATTTAATGAGCAGTTCGTAACGAAGCTTCTCATTGTCTCGACAGCATTCCAGCTTTCGCTGGAATTTGCTCCCATTTTTTTTCTTTGACGTGCCAATTAAGAAACATAAATAATGGAGGCAACCCATGGTGCCGCGCGGGAATTTATCTACGAGCGAATTTGCAACTTTTCTATCGTTTTACCGACTTCCGTGAGGGCCCGCCTGTCAATATGTACCAATCAATTATTCAGATTTTCCAAACGTCCGCCATAATGGATCGTACCGATTTGTGCACACAAAGCACTTCCGAGAATTTTACACATCGCTCGTATATGTTGTCCGCTACTTTGATTTCAATTAAAAGTGAATATCAGTGCGATATATAAATTGAGAGATGTAACGCAATTAGTTTCAAAAATTAATCTCCAATTACACGATTTAACGCAAAAAAAGCCAACGAATCGTAAAGCGTTGATATTACATCTTTCGTAAAAAATTACAAAATTGATCATTAAATATACTTTTGCAAAAGTATATAAGATTATTCATTAAACGTACTTACAAATCGATGTAATTCATTTCGTCAGACATAATAATAATTACAATTAGACGTAATAATTACTTCGCGTTCCATTAGTTACTTGGCGAAATCTTTCAAAGCACATCGGCCATGAATACGGCCATTAATTTCGCGTTATTACTTTTGCGGTAGTTTCAACGTGATTAAATATACGCGCGCGTTCGACCAAGAAAGTTAATTTAAAAAATAATTCTCACCTTTTGCGTGCGGTAAACAGAGAAACCGCCATTTCACACTTTATCAAAGGTAAATCAATTTGCATTTAAATTAAACTCCCCGCAGGAGTTGACGTTCAAGTACAAACGGCCGGATAAAGCGGGAGCGAGACCGCTTGATAATGGAAATCGCTTCTTATAAAGCGTGAGAATCGTGTAAATACTCCACGGCACGTTTCCTTCGCTCTTTCTAAGCCCGCGTCGTGAGAGATCGGCTCGATTTACAGCGACATGAAATAACGCGTCGGCAGATTGAGCAACGTTTGTTAAAAAGAGAAAGAGAGAGAGAGAGAGAGAGCGCAAAGACTCGAAAGAGCGCGATTTCAATCTCAACGAATATATCTCTCTGTCTGATGGTATTTAAGAGTTAAATTCGATGTGTACGGGCATGTGACGAGTGTTCGGGTAACTCGAACGGCAAAAGCGAGCTCGGGATAGTAAGAAGCACTTAGCTCAGGACGTGTTCCTATTTCGTAATGCCGCTGGAATTTCTACCCACTATTCTCTCTCGAGCGCGCGTCCGTCCCGAGTCTTCATCTTCCTATCTGGATGGCACCACGCGCACCGACGGTAACTCGTGCACTGACATTAAATCGACTTTACATACTCCGCCATTTATTCGGAACACAATCATCGCGTAGATTTATAAAACGCGCAGTAAAAAAAAAGACTAGTATACTTTGCAAAAGATGTGTGTTAAATATCGATTTCTAACAGTTTTGGCCGCGTTTCCAGAAACGATCACGCTGTGCGACGTCGTTCGTATATTTTCATTTAACGGACTCTGAAAATTTTCTCCCAACATAAAAGTGCTTTCCGCGCGCAATTCCGGGATCGGTAAAAGATGCGAACGAAAATAATCGCCGTGCGGAAGTTTCGCGCGAGCAAAAACAAATAATGCGTTCGAACTGCAAGCCCGTGTTTACGACGTACGTTAATTCGCTTTCGCGTATACACCATCACAGTCGGCGCGTTTTATATACGCGCGCGGACCAGAAAATTCTTTCGTCGTGATGTTTGTAACGGAGGACGAAATTAATGGTAATTGCGGCGGTCGCTCGAGCGGGAAACTTATTGCTTTTAGCTTAACGAAGTCGCAGCGCAAAAAACTGCTCGCTAACTGAAATAAAGCGATGTACTCACTGCATATGTAGAGTCGCGACTGGCTTGTCCGAGAAGAGCACGACCGGCCGGTCGAAGCGTTGGTTGAGACCGCAGACGCGAGCGCTGCCCTCCAACTGAAGCCAACCGCCCTCGCACCTGCAACAAAAAGACGAGACCACTCCCTTCAGTAACCGACCGTTACTTCTGAGCGCGCTCGGCCGCTCTCCCCTTTCGCCGCTCTCTCACTCTCTCTCTCTCTCTCTCTGCTCGTAATTAGTTTCGCCAATTTTCGATCCAGCTGTCTCATCTCGCCCGCGTACAAGAGCTGTTAATTCGCGCCAAGCGAGAGCGGCTTGGAATTTCCCTATCATGAGAGCGAATTCAATTTTGTCTTGTGCAGTTTTAAGGAACATGCATATTTTACTTCAAGATCGGGCAAGGATTTTCTTGCCGCGAGATTCTCCCCGCGAGTCGAGAATAAGTATTCGGATAAGGGATCGTTCTTTCAAGGAAACGTCACTTTTGCTGATGGCTAAGAATGAATTTCTTTCTCTCCCTAATTTTCGAGGCGTATATATTGTTAAAGTTATCTCATTTATGCAGCACACATATAAAAGAAAAAGATCCTCTGATAATTGAGCAGGAAGAAACAAAACGATTAAAGTAAATTAAAGAACGAAACGCACGCAGCGCGTATTAGGTTTCACTTTGTCATCTTGACTGATCTCGATCGATATATGATCGATATCGAGCGCGCCCGAACAGTTCCGAAGGCGCGACGACTTGATCATATGCGCGATATCTGAAATAAACGCAAATGCAAAATAAAAGTATTATACTTCTGTATTCTACTATATATATTATATATATAGTATATTTAAAAGTATTATAAATAAATAAAATTAGGATTTTCACACACACTACTACAACACAAGCGCGCGCTACGCGCACGCTGTTATTGTTTTTATTTTAACGTGTTGTGCTAGTAAACACAACCTATCACTGCAATGACAGTTAGTATATAAATCTTACAAACCATATAATACACATTAGAGAGGTCAGAAATAACGCATGAAAATCAAAATAAAAAAATAGTGAGATAGAGAAGTGAAAAACCAACACGTGACAAGGAGAAGTAAACAAACAATACGTGACTAAAGTACCGTAAGAAGGAGAAGAGAAACACCATATAACTAAAATCACAAGGATATTTTGCGCGCGACGACTCTGACGTGACAGAGAAAAGAGTAAAAATGAGAATATTATATATATAGATATATTTAACGTATTATATATAAATATATTTATACAGTATTATATACAGGGTGTCCCAGAATGGCCGTACAATCTCTCGTAGGCAGGTAGAAGGA